TTCAGATTTATGTTATATGAATATATGCAAATTTGTGTATATTTAATAGGATGCCTCATTTGCATATTTAAACATAACATTTCAGAACACTTGAAATACAAAAAATGTAATCAATCAACTGGGAAAAATATGGTGATTTCTATTAGTTATTTTTTTAAACCTATTCACCTGGAGTGTCTCACCTTAATATTCCACAAGACAAAATTGTTCACATGCTCTTGTTTTTTATAATGTGTTTCTTCCTCGAGCATCAATGACTGTTTGCATCATGTGTGATAGTTTTGAGTCTCTGGTTCGTCCTGTGTGCTGAAGCAGCCCACTGTTCTTGATAAACATCATCCAAGTTCTTTGGTTTCCCAGCATGCTCTGCACATTTGAGTTCTTCCCCACAGCGGCTATACGATGTTGATCTCCAGCTCTGACACTCAGGACAATTGAGGGACTCATGCAGCTTTCACAAAAGGCGGCAAACAATCATTGACGCTCAAGAAGAAAACATGAGTGTTACAAACTAAATGTATGCGAACTTCTTAACGCAATCAATTATTTGTGTAAATTATTTTGTATATGGCATCTTCAGGGCAGTACTAAAAATAAAACTTTTTTTTAATGCTAAGCACCTTCTAAACAGATTCTGCTTGGGGTTTGTAAACATGAGCACAACTGTATTGATCTGGTATTTGTGCATTACAGATACTTTACGTTGGGTAGGAGAAATATGTTTGGAAAAATAAACTGGTGTCATTGTACAGCATTTCATAAAACACCAGCTGTAGTCCTCACTAAAAATCTCTGTAGTACAAGTGGCTCTGTTATATTTTATCTACACAGGCTGTTCAAAGGTTAATAATGCTCTGTAAAATAATTTCCCAGCATGCACAACCAAAAAGGAAGCAAGAGAAGCTGTTGAACTGCAACTATTTAACAACACATAATTACTGGAAAAAAAAGAAAGCAGAAACGGAAATGATTTTCACAGTGGTTCTTAATATTAAACTTCACGTTAGACAACACATTCTTGTTAAACCTTTTAGACTCTAAACAGGACCACTTTTCATTGTGAATCTGTAGTCGTAGGTTGTGACCACTCCCCCTTCTCGATCAGAATGGTATTTTTGCACGGGCAGTTATTATTTTGGATTAGGCATAATAATAGTGCCCTCGTCATTCTGAAATTATAACGGAACTTGCCAGTTTAAATTATTTGAATGCAGATGATTAAGACTGTTCTGATATGCATTTTAAATATATTTGTATTTCTTCTGAGCTGTTCTTACGTGCAGTAAATCCTGTCAATAGGGTGTGTAGATATTTTTTGTATTTTCATAACCGTATGCACCAGTATAGGCAAAGCAAATGCTGTACAAACTAATCTATATGAATTAATTTCCCTATTGATTGTGATAACCCTAATTTTTGGTTATGTATGTTCTGAAGAGCTTTCAGATTTTGGGGCATCAATAACATCACACTTTAATTTTCTACTGGGATGACGCCTTACGCAATATTACAAACTAGCAAGTAGGCTATTAGAGACTATTACAATATTTTCAGAATTGCTTATATAGTGAAATATATTTAATGATATGCTTATGGTAGTCAGTCTTTATTATATATCTGCCTAAATGTCAATAAATAGAGTCTTATTCCTATCAAATAAATAATACTCAAAGTTTTGCTGTGATTGGCTGTATAAAGTCTTTAACAGTTAAAATGTCTCCCTTTCAAAGCCTGCATTGAATAATATCTCGCTCGGAATACTTACACAGCACCTTCTCCATTGATTCAGGCTACATTCTTTGAAGTATATCATCACTCTATTAGAAGTTGTGACATTTGGTTAAGAAACAAAACATTTGAAGTGCTGCATTTTCTAATTGGGAAAGTCGTTACTGCTTTTGTTTTGTTCTCAAAAAGGGCTTTAATCAGATAAATACAATGTGCATGGCTTTAAACAATTCTTAGGGTTATCAACCATTCAGAAGCATTTTTGTAACAGTGCATTTTTGGATTAGGATTAATTTATTTTATTACGTATTAAGACAGTTATTGCTGTTTCCTGCATACGCTGACCTAGTGACCTTAAAAGAGGCAGGAGAACAAAATATGGTATATAGACAGACGACTGTTGTTCTAAATTAGATTCTAAAATTCAAGCTATTAAGGTTTGCATAATTGATTCAATTTTTTAAAATGGTTTTGGTTTTTATATATATATATATATATATATATATATATATATATATCAGAGACCGAAATGCACAAACATACATTCCTTCAATGGACGAGCGTCTGTCCCTGATCAGTGCTGGGGATTTGAAGAACCAGAAAGGAAGGTAAGAAAACACCATCGTATTGTCCCTTCATTTTAAAATAAATTAAGATGCTATTTCTATTGAGAAATTTCTATTTCGTTTAGAAATACCGCTACGTGACTAGTTCAAAATATGCTAACCGTGCAAATACAACCAACTAACCCAAAATATAACCTAAGTGCAATAATAATAACGATAATATTTGTCATTTGAGTTCTCTGTTGAGAAATTCACATGCTTTTCGATTGCAAATGCTGTTTGCTTGCTTAAAAATAAGGTGCTTATCAGAGCTTTAATTTAAGCCTTTTCAGTTTTGTATCTCAAATCTGAGAGTTGCTTAAAGGGTCTTGAAATATATTTTATTTAAACAAAGTACATTATTACACTAACGCTTATAGAAACAAAAACAAAAGCAAAACAAGGTGCTAATGCGGCCGTAATACATGAATTCAGATGAGGCAAACAAAAGTATATCTGCTGTAACAGTCAAAAGTTTTTCAGAACTAATATTTAAAATGCTAATGGCTCAAAGGTAAATCGTTATAGTAAGTTAAATACAATCACAGGCTTACCCTAGCATATCTTCTAACACCACACACGTGGCAATGGCGCGCAGAGGCTCGATGGGGGAAAAACTGACCCATTTCAAACCGAGTACATTTTCAGTGGCTCCATTCTTTTGTAGTGGCCTTCTAGCAAGGGGGAAAAAAGACCGTTTCCCAACCTCAGAACGCTCTAATCCCCTATTCCGAAATCCCCCAGCCTGCAATGAGACAGGCAGTGGGTGTGTAATTTGATTCAGCATGAGCGGCCACCAAATTGGGCGTTTCCCCCCTGCTTTCTTGTCAATTACAATTGTCTGATTTCATTGTGGAGTTCAAGGTTGTTCTCCGATTGGCTGCTCGTGACCGTGCGCTGGCAGGCCTGTCTCGAGGGGGTCACGGCAGGATGTCCCGCTCATGAAGGAAGACTCCATGGAAACTTCGACGGCCTGCCTCTCGTGCACATTAAACGAGAAATCACAGAATAAAAATGCTTTGGGTCTATCTAGTCCCACTCTCTACCCAGAACGGCCAGCTTTTCTCTTTGAAATAAAATCTGCTCTTGGATTTTTTTTCACCCCATGACAGGACAAAAGAGGCCCCTTTTCTCCACAATGGGAATACCAGAACGAGAGTGAGCAAGCGATCAACAGGAGGGGCCCCAGCTGCACCTAGTTTAGCCCCCCTGCGCGGCGTCTCCGTCCTCATTCACGCCACTGGTACGCCACCCCTCCTTCCTACAGCAGTTGCTTTACACCTGGACTCTGATGTATGGCTAATTATCAGCTCCTCCTTGGGCAGGCCATGTCGGGGCGCTCCGGGGATTGTACCAACACTGCGACAAAACAATATAGTCACTGGGAGGAGCTCTGTAGTTATTACAGTGAATGAGCGGTTTGTAGAATTAGAGCACAGTCACCCCCGACAAGACCAACCCTCACAAAATAAAAAAACGTAATCTAAAGTACGATATGCAACACCTGCCTCAGTACAGATGGACAATCAGAGGACGCTTTGCAACTCAGATGCAGCACCTCGGGAACGGGTGATTTACATTGTACTGTAGCTCGGAGTCTTGCTTGCTTTTGTCTATTTGGTCTATTCAGGATCAGATTACAGACCCCCTCCCCTCAATCACCCCCTCTGCTTTTTTTCGTACTTCATCTTATGCCTTATGCTCAGCCTTTTACTAAATAACTGTGAAAAAGAAAAATTCATAAACACACTGACTGAGTGCAGAAAGGAGAATAAAAACATTATTGAAATAACCCGGGAAAGTCCTCTTGAAAACAGAACGCTGGATGAATTCCAAGGTTTTTTGAGCTGACCAATCAGTTTGCTCAAATAGTTGTTTTCTCTTCTTTTTTCGTATTGTACCTAATAAGACCGTTTTAGATACATCACATAATATGCTCACTGGTGCAGAAACAAAACAAAATGAATAAAGAGAAACTCCCTGTTTTACTCGTCAATTACCCGTTCGATTTGATTTGCAAAGCAGATACTACATCGGTAATTGTGTCGTTTACAATATGATCCAAATTTAAAGCAATCAGGTTGTATATATCAGCCCCTATTTCTATATCATCTATTTCCTATAGACATCTAGAAATGTAATGTTTTTTTGACAATCACCTCACATCAGTTTTAAGGTGCAAAGATTTAAGATTCTAGTTTGCCTTAAAAAAGAATACTCGCTCGTTTGCAGATGCTGGGATGTAAAACTATACTCCAATCTTAGGAAATAAACTTGTAATGATATTTTTTTTTATATAATAATAAACCTCCCCAGCAAAGGCAAAGTGTAAAATGTTCACATTATTTCTTCTGTTACTGTCCACACACAGCATGTGGAAAAATCAGCACCAGTAAAAAAATTAAATAAAATCAAACAAAACAAACCAACATGCTAAGAACTACGTTCTTTCCCATTTTTCAAAAAACGTTTATAAAATATATATGTATATATGTGTACATATAAAAGAAAAATCTGAAAATACTTCTTCCTCTTTTTTTTTTTAGTAAACCAAGCAGTGTGTTCTAAAATATCTGCTTGTTTTGGTTTTGTGTTTTCTGAAAAATAAAAAAGTGAATACTGACCAAATAAAAAAAGATTTAAAGTGAACTGATTCTACAGAGTAAAAATTAACCACAAAAAAACAAAAACAAAACAAACGACAACAAAAATGCCTTTTTAAGAGAATATCCGGATGGCCTGTGTGACAAGGGTGTGGCAGACAGGACACTCCGGATGGTTTAGCTCACAAATTCGGATGGCGCACTCCATGCAGAAGAGGTTATGACCACATGGGACCAGAGCGGCGGTCACTTTGCTCTCAAAACAGGTCATGCAGTCCCGAGCCACGGCAGGCGGAGAATCCGGCACAGGGAGACGTCCGGTGAATGCAGCGGTGACGGCGGTGGGCTCGCTGTGGGCGCGGCGCGCCTGGGCATGAGGAGACCCGACAGCGTTGGAGTTTCCGGTGCTGCACGGTTCAGGCAGTCCCGGCGACAGTCTGGTCAGAGGAAGAGGCAGGCCTCCAAAGCTTTTGGAGCGCTGCTGGGCGTAGTATGCCACCTGTTTGGGATACTCGGGATCGCCCCAGCTTTGAGTGCCCTCAGATCCGAAGTAGGAGCATGGCTTGTCCCCACTGCCATGGTTGGTAAAGTCACCTTTACTGTAAATCCCACTTCCACCTCCTCCACTACTTCCGACCATGGCGTCTGAGAAATTCTGGCGGTAGCTGCTGGCAAGCGGTTTGCGCGGGGCCCCCTGTAGCCCCCACACCTGCTGCAGGCGGCTCTCCAGACCCCCGTTGCCGCTGTCAGGTCCCAAGCAGTCGTTCTCATTGTTGTGGTCATGCAGGCCACCCGTGCGGAAGGCGATGTGCGCCTCGATTTCTTCCCTCGCCCGTTCGGCGTTCCCAGGGGAGCCGGTGATCTCAAAAACAGGGTCACGGTCACGGCTCGGAGTCACGATGTAAGTACACGTTTGCTGCTGAATGCGTTTTATAGTCGAGCCTTTCGGTCCGACCACCAAACCCACGACGCGGTAGGGCACCCGCACCTGTATGGTGGTCTGGCCAGGTAGCGGCGCAGGAGGCGATCCACTGAAAGAGACGCCCACACGGCAGGCGGAGAATCCGGCACAGGGAGACGTCCGGTGAATGCAGCGGTGACGGCGGTGGGCTCGCTGTGGGCGCGGCGCGCCTGGGCATGAGGAGACCCGACAGCGTTGGAGTTTCCGGTGCCACACGGTTCAGGCAGTCCCGGCGACAGTCTGGTCAGAGGAAGAGGCAGGCCTCCAAAGCTTTTGGAGCGCTGCTGGGCGTAGTATGCCACCTGTTTGGGATACTCGGGATCGCCCCAGCTTTGAGTGCCCTCAGATCCGAAGTAGGAGCATGGCTTGTCCCCACTGCCATGGTTGGTAAAGTCACCTTTACTGTAAATCCCACTTCCACCTCCTCCACTACTTCCGACCATGGCGTCTGAGAAATTCTGGCGGTAGCTGCTGGCAAGCGGTTTGCGCGGGGCCCCCTGTAGCCCCCACACCTGCTGCAGGCGGCTCTCCAGACCCCCGTTGCCGCTGTCAGGTCCCAAGCAGTCGTTCTCATTGTTGTGGTCATGCAGGCCACCCGTGCGGAAGGCGATGTGCGCCTCGATTTCTTCCCTCGCCCGTTCGGCGTTCCCAGGGGAGCCGGTGATCTCAAAAACAGGGTCACGGTCACGGCTCGGAGTCACGATGTAAGTACACGTTTGCTGCTGAATGCGTTTTATAGTCGAGCCTTTCGGTCCGACCACCAAACCCACGACGCGGTAGGGCACCCGCACCTGTATGGTGGTCTGGCCAGGTAGCGGCGCAGGAGGCGATCCACTGAAAGAGACGCCCAACTTGTTCCTGGAGGCCCGCAGCATGGAGAAGTGCTCCGCAGCTGAGATGATTTCACGTCTGGCCAGGGCCACATCCTCTTTGCGGCCAGTGATGAGGAAGACTGGTTCTTCGCCTCGGACGGGAGTCTTGATGTAGGTGTTTGTCTTTGCACGCAAAGCTTTGATTTTGCAACCTGTTGAGTGAAGAAGGAGTATTATAATAGTAGTATAACTAATATCTGTAAGATAATACTTATTTTGCTTGTTTGTTTCCAGGTCAAAAGGTCATCCATGCTCAGAATCTGCAGCAGAACAAATCATTCGCAAAGTTCTTTATGTGTTGAGTGTAATTTAAACATTTTGGTTAATTTGATTGTATTTTCAGTTCTCAGTAAAAGTACAGTACTGTTTATTCTATTTAACACAATTTATTATGTTTAAATTGTCCATGTTTCATCATTTTACCATGCTTAAATATACAAAATCCTGCAGATTCTTTGCAAAAGTCAGCAGATTCAGTCTGGGCCTGCCCATTTTTCTATTTTCTCTATTGTAACCTATACACAAAATATACCAAATACAATTTTTGATGATTAAAAATTAGCATTGTATTGCCTTTTTTGCTGCAAAATGTACTAAATATAATTTTTTGATTATAAAAAATTAAGTTTTGCAAATTTTGTAGACAATATATTCAAATATAAATTTTCAGAACAAATTTTTTTTTGTACAAATTATACTTTTGATGATAAAAATAAGAATTATCTTACAATTTGTTGTATTTGATTACCCCCACTGGACCTTATTCATAAACAGAATAAATATCTGAGTTAATCTTTCTTTCTTTGTCATTTCTTTTCATAAAACTATTGATTGAACAATGCACATTGAAATTTCTTCTGCTCGTGTTTAATGAATGAGGCCCAAAGTGAATTTGGAAATGACTGTTCACTCTTCTCTGTTGTGGTAAATGTAGAAATCGATTAAAACAATGGCTTTTTTTCTACCTTACACTGTATGCATTACACTACTATTTTGCTGTTTCATTTATAATATAGAAAAAATGTGTCTGCTTTTAATTATTTAGCATAATAAATTCCATTAAAATTTTCCACTCTGTGTTGACGTATCCTATTAGATCCTATTAAAAAAATCTGTATATACAATAGCGCTTAAAAATCACTCTTGTCTGAATGACGCCTCCTCTGCAACAGTGCCATGTGCTAACTGATAGTTACAGGTTCTATGATATTCAGCACCGAAACCCAAATTATAACATTTCAGACATAAATTTCCCAACTATTCTGCAGATGGAGTTGACTCGAGGACAAAGCAAGCATGCAAAATCCCCCATAAAGTTATTGTTGAGATATGAATTCATGACAAGGTGTGGTGCTCCACAGCATGTGCCTCGTGTTCAGCACCAGAGTATTTATTAGCACCTCAGTGGTGTTTTATCAAAAGTGGGGTGGCTTTCTCCGCCCAGGGGCCTGTTCAGTGGATAGATCTCTGCACACTGGTTTCATGCCTCATTGTGTACGGCAGAAGCTAAAAAAATAACCTGGATGGACTGTCTAGCACTGACAGCGGGGAGCACAGATTCCCTCCCACCGCTGAATCGTCCCTCTCGCTGCAGGAGCACATCTCCTAACAGTCATGGCAGCCACGGCAGGTGAACAAAGCACTGGAACCTTACAGCTCAAAATTCCAACTAATGGCGATAACAAGGATACATAAGTTTTTTTTGTTGCCATCACTCTCGCTTGTTATTATGAGGCCAAATGCATCTATCTATTCATAGAAAAATGCAGTTAAATTAACCTAATAAAGGCCAAACGATGTGGCAGTACTATCAGTGACTAATGAGGTAAAGACCCCATTTCGAATCCTCTTAATCAGCAATTTCCAATCCACACGCTTACTGCATCCCAAGTTAGACCCATTTGGATTCTGAAAACACGCAGGCCACTTTACAACTCAACAAAGTCGTCATATGTGGGGAACCCACTTGCTGGGACATTAATTAGTGCATATTTCATCTGGGTGAGATATTATGCTCCTAATGAATGGACAGTAGATGCTTCCTGACCCCCTGCTTTGAGTGGAGGGCTGTAGTACTGGTAGACGGGGCGTGACTCTAATACAGTCTTTATAGTCTGTCTCTCCAGTACCAAATGCAACATGGCTTTCCAGGACACTGGAAATGTATCACGAAGTGCCTTCTTAATCACAATGAGACAACGGGGTCACCAAAGTGATCCAACAACACATAATTGCCTCCTCAACTTATTCCAAATATCATCACACATTCAAAATGCAACTTTTCAGCCAAGTCACGTTCATATAGCTCTGCCCTCAAAGCACACAAGGACTTTTACTTCTTTGTCTGACCACGCTGTCAGAATTTCAGGACTTTTAGACAAATTCGGACATCAGCGGTGGACTAAAGTTACCCGACAAGTCCTCTTTGTCTGAGGTAGCCCGACAAAACAACGTGGTTCTGCATATGAAAGCCCCCATGAACTACAGAGGCGCGCGAAGGAGCGAATGACACAATGTATCCAGTCAACAAAGACCGTTGACTGTTACATTGTATCCAGCGAGCGCACACGCGTTCCATTTTCTGTTTCAAAAAGCAGAATTACGCGCGCTCAGACGACAAAGGGAAAGCAGCATGCTGACATTGAAGGCGTGGATGTGGAATAACGCCTTTGTTCTCGTGCCCGCTGATAACTTTGCTTAAAGCTAAGAGGAAATGCCCATGTTTATGCCATCTACGCGCCGAAACAGAGTGCTGAATTGTGGCTAAAACAGACACGTTAAAAGCATCACCACTCCCTTTTTCTTTGTTAAGACAGCTCCACACTTAGTTTGAGCCGCGCACCCTGGAGAACGAGTTGGAAAGCATGTGAAAGTGCGCATCGTTGTCTTTACCTTGCCTCCCCACTATTTCGGCCACATGTTCGGAGCTTGGCACGGGGACGCACTCCGTTATGTTGCAGCCCCGTCCTTTGGTTTCGGTGGGCGAGCTGTCGTACAGGGCGCACAACTTGTTCTTCCCTTGTAACATCCCTGATTCGGCTGGGATGTGATTGTGGTGGTTATTGTTACTCCTGTCTTGAACTCCACCACCTCCACCCGCAGGAGCACCGTCCTCGCCCTCTCCAAGACCCAGCAGCGACAGTTGGCCCAGCGCAACTCTAAGGGCACGGGAATCGTCCTCCTCTTCCTCGTTTGGCACCAGGAGACATTCGTAATATTTAGTTATTTATACATGCTATGATGCACAACTTGGACACATCATCAGTTTTGATTCTTGGCGTCATTGGGTGTTTCAGGTCTTTCAACAGAAACCCTCTTCTTCCAGGCGGCCCGACCGAGGCTGATCAACAACAACAAAAATCGAATAAACAAAAACATAATATGCATTAAGCGTATTTTAATATTATTTTATGACTTTAATTTATTATTAGTAGTAATGTGTATCCAGTTAATACAAAAAATATTTGTAAAATAAATTATATTTTTTACATGTAATACTGATTCAGAATTACTGTAACGATAAAGTAACAATAAACAAAAAACTGTTCTAATTCTAAAAAAATATTATTTCAAAAATAAAAACAATATGCATTATATAAATTTTGATATTTTAGTATTATTGTTTTATTATTTTAATTTATTATAGTAATACTTATCCAGATACATTTATGGGACATTTAACATGTTATTTTTATTGATTGATTGATTTATTGATTGATTGCATGGTGTAATTTAATTATCACCCGCAAGTGAGTCATCATTATTCATAAAAATATTAATATGAACACCAGTAGAAAATTGCAGCATTATACAAAAAAAAAAAAAGATTACGTTTGTATTAAGAAAATTGTTTGTTATTTTTATATTACTTTAATATACCTTTTATCCTTGAAGTCTGAGAAATATACTGGTCTCTATTGGTAATAACTTATATAATAATAATAATAATAATAATCGCTATTATTGTTGTTGTTATAGATCCTATTTATTTCTAAAATGGATTAGCTACTAGTTTAAAATAATAAATGTTCAAACAGCTTGCCATGCCCTGCCTCTCTGAGACAGAGTCACCAGCCATCCATCCATTCCGTTTCATTTCAGACTCATTTGTAGCAACCAACAACTCACTTCTAATGAATAATCCAAAACATAATTTTTATGCCGTAAATATTAGCCTACAACATCATAGTTCATTGTCTTGTGTTGTGAGGAGAGGCGTGCCAGAATGATCACACATGTGCGCCTGCAAACAACACCATGCAGCTGGCGCTCTGCATTCTCAACAACAGCACTTCTGTTGTGATGTTTGGTCAACGGAGTGTCATAACATGACCGAAAATACGGCTTTTTAAGCAGAGGAAGTGAAACATCTGTCCCCAATATTTCCCCAAACCGAAAGAGTTAAACTGACATAATTTGGGGGTCCGCCCACCCTGTTTGCCGTTGGTTGCAGCGGGTCACTGAGTTGTTGTTTGGACTACAGTTGCGCATGGAGTGCTGTTACACTGAGAGACACTGAGAAGAAGAGACACGGGGAGTTATCAGACAGACGTCGCAGGATCTGCACTGCACATTTATGGTAGAGTGAGAGAGAGGGAGAGAGAGAGAGGAGAGCGAGCACGTGTCTAGCAACATCGAAGGCAAACCTTGAACAAAGAGCATTCGTGTTTCCACCTCAGACGACACTGTCCTCATGATGCCACGCCTGGCGGCAAAGATGAAATCTGCAACAACAACAGCAGCAACAGCAGCAATTACTACTACTAATAATAATACAAACATATTGTAGTTTGAATTGTATAAATGATACCAAATGTTGATATTTTAAATATTATTAAAATATTAAATACTATTTTAAAAAATATTATTTATATTAAGCAAATTGATAACACTTGCAGTTACACTCCTAGTTTAACCTAATTCATATTTTCAAAATTTTTTTTATACATAATATTTTTTATATTTTCAAGGTGGGTTTATTATTGAAACTCAGTTAAAGCATAATCTTATACAAAATACAGATTTTAAAAATACATGTACTTAAAAGTAATAAAAAAATTATAAAATGACTCAATTCAAAATGATGACCTTAAAGTGGGGTATGTTGTCACACTATATGGGTAAGTTGTCACAGTGGAACCTATTCAGTAGCATTTTATAGGCTATCTAGGGTTAGGTAAAACAGTTTAAACACTAATAAAATAAAAAAAAATGTTTTCGTCAACAGAAACTATAATTAAAACAACATATTATAATTTAATACAACATAATAATAATAATAATCAAAACATTTTTTTAGAATTGTATAACTGATACCAGCTGTTGATTATTTAAATCTCTTAAAACGATGTGTACTGATACATATTTGTACAACTAAAGCCTTTGAACATAAAAAAATATTTTAAAAATACATGTACATATCTACATTTTAATTTTAATTTAATTAATTTATCATACATTGACCTTAAAGTGGGGCATGTTGTCACACTATATGGGGTAAGTTGTCACTGTGGAACTGGTTAGGTAGAAGAGATTAAACACTTAGAATAAAAAAATTATAATGTGTGTGTGTGTGTGTGTGTGTGTGTTGAAACAAATATTATTACATACATATATTATTTGGATGATCTGCAGTTATAGACTTACAAATGCATGCAATGCATCAGCTTTGAAAAAAAATGTAGTTGTGGTGACGACATGAGGCTGTAGTATAGTGTGGGTTTATATCCATACAGGCTACACAGAATGCCATATTTCTCTTCCATCATTGGCGAGCATATTTATCTGATTCCTTATAGGAAATGCTCATGAAAGTCTTCTCATGGTAAATAAATATAGGTGATTGTTCACACTCAATCTCTTCTCATTTGCATCTGTAGTTTTTCCAGTGTTTTAATTGGTCAGTCAGACCAGTTGGACACTTAAAGTTGCATCAGCATGAGTCGATCAGATGGCAGCACTAATATGAGATGTGCAGGACGGGTCTTTCTCACACATTCCGGATCAGTGCCAGCACCTTAGCGACAGTCAGTATGTCCAAAAGGTCATTTGCTTCCATTAATGGTGTCCACTGGGAGCCCAAGGCCCAAATCAATATCAACTATGGATAACAGATCATGTTTCCCTGCCTGCCCCGTCTGTCTGTGGGCCTGGTTCTTTTGTTGATCAAGTCCCTCTTTTGTCTTTCCACTTGTTCACTTTGCTTATTTTAGTCGAATCTACATCAAGTCATTGGAAGCACTTCTTCAAGTCTGTGCTGGACATTCTTTTTCCTAGCAGAGCCTATATGTTTGCATATTCTCATATACTCACTCATATTGTACTCACGACACCCACATTCTGTAAATGATGACCTAATATGACATCATCCAGCAGAGCATTTATCAGTACACACGCATGCCGTAATGTGGTCACACAACAATGAAATGAATCAATCAGCATTAATACCTTCATCTTAAATAATAAACAACAGAATTATAATAAAATAATAAATCATAACTCATTCACATATATGATTTAAATATATGTCAATTATGTGAACAAATTATATAAATTCAGTATTAATCACACTTAATATGGGTTACGTGATTGTCAGAATCCATATTAAGTGTGGTTAATTAAGACTTAATTAATACATAACAGAATTATAATATAAGTCATAATTCATTGTCAAATTATGACTATTATTATATTATATGATATACATTTTGTATTAATTGATCACACTTAATATGGATTGCGACAATCATGTAATCCATATTAAGTGTGATTCATTAATAGTTAATTAGCACATAACAGAATAACAATATAATAAAATATATAATATAACAATATATAATGCTATATAATGACACTTAATATGGATAACGTGATTTGTAAATGGTGTAGATTTGTAAATAACAACAACAATAATAATGCTATTAGTAATAATAATAATATTTTTCACCTATGGTAAAATAGGTGAAAAACAAATAAACAAATAAATAATAAAAAAGACCCACTTCCCTATTTTTATCTACAATATTTGTCCAAATGAGTTACTATGTTTTTCTAACGCACCTTCTGGATTTTAAGTACAAATAATAATATGGATAATAATATGGACTTAATATGGATTGTAACAATTATGTAATCCATATTAAGTGTGTTTAATTAATAGTTAATTAATACATAGCAGAAAAATAATATAATACAATATATATTATATCATAATACATAATACTATATCATATATTGTATGAATTCAATATTAATTAATCACACTTAATATGGACTACATGATTGGTATATATATATTTTTAAATAACAACAACAGTAATAATAATAATAATAATAATAATAATATATTACTTATATAATATGTACTTAATATGTATTCACTTGTTTTATCATTTATATTTGAAGAGATGTTATTATAAATGGCCATCACTCAGGTCTTCCTGCTATTGAGACTGTACTGACCCTTCCCCCTCATCTCTCTCTCTCTCTCTCTCTCTCTCTCTCACATAAACACTTGAGGTTTACATTGAGTGTAAATGCTTCTCTGAGTTGGGAATATGAGTCAGGTGAGTATGACCTCATCTCTTTTTCCTCTGCTATGAGGTAATGTATCTCTCTGGCTCTCTTTCTCCTCTATGAGCCAATCATTAGAGGTGCTTCACCGATGACACACCCCACTGATGATTCCGATTCTCACTGTCACGTGACGCTCACACCCTCAGGTGATCTCACTGTACAGATGGATCATCGCCAACAAAACCACTGAACACTGCAATAGAATAAACATGTATGGTCCATTCTTTAAAAGAAAAAAAAAATCAATTATAGTTTAACTTAGACATATTAGTTTTCTTTTTGGAATCAGTGAATTAATAAAACAATTAAACAGTTAAATTTCTTTATACACACACACACACACACACACACACACACACACGTGTGTGTATGTGTGTGTAAACCCCCTCTCTCTATAATGTAATATTTATAATTTTGTATATATGTAATGTATAATTATTTATGTTTTAAAAATTATATTTACGTTTGTCTGTTTCTGTTTCATGCATTTGAACACAAAACGTTTAAAACCTTTGAATCAAAACGTTTTTAGATTCAAGTGTGTACAGAGAAGTGATTTGTGTTACACAGTTGCAACACGTGCTGTTGAGGTTGGAGGTTGCATTATTTTAATTAATTGATTAATTTTCCCCATAGCAGACGACTGCATTTCTTTTATTTAATGTGATCACATTTATCTATCAATATAGGTTAAATGATCATCAACTGTCCACACATAAATACGACGACAAATACATGTTCTTTCACAGGAATGCACCTTAAACTGAAAGAAGTTTCGCTGGTTTTAGTTTACAAAGCGTTCGCACACACCCTCTGCTGGCTGTAAAAACGAACTGCAACTAAAGTACCGGATCAAATGGTTCAGGACAGCATGGAATTTACTGCAAAAATGGTTAGTGCTGTCCTAATTTATTGTAACATTTAACCTGTATCTAATCATATTGTATATTATTTATGCTTGTCGTGGGTTTATAAAAAAGTATTCAATAAACCATGACACTACTTAACTCATTAAACATGATTTTTCATATAATACAAGAGTAAGAAACCACAGTGAAGTAAATTGGGCCTATTTCTGTCTAAATCAGGGCTGTCCAAACTCGGTCCTGGAGGGCCGGTGTCCTGCAGAGTTTAGCTCCAACCTGTCATTGCATTCACCCTGTGTGTATACTATAGAACTAATGAGTTAAGTAGACACAGGTGGGATCATTTAATATAAATGTAAAAGTCAATTTTTTTTCTTGCTTTCACTGAAGTTGAAGATGCGCTTTGGAATAAGGTAAAGAAAAGTCATTGATTGATTTCTAATAGTGTAATAGTTTTCTTTTTTAGTAATATATATATTATTAGATTCTCATCTATATTTTATGAAAAGTGTGCAGTAAGTCTTCCTAGATACTAGAAGCATGACGTCTGGGAAATGTTATCAAACAGGTTGGGAGAAACAAGAAACATGCAAGAATGTACCTAAGAATGTATTTTCGTAAATGGACAAGTTTCTTTAACATGACGAGAATTACCTAAGATGCCTTAGAAAAGCATAACTTAATCACTAAAATCACATTCATTCCGTTTTTATTTATTATTATTATTATGTGTGTGTGTGTGTGTGTGTGTGTGTGTGTGTGTGTGTGTGTGTGTGTGTGTGTGTTCAATGTGTTCAATTTTATTAATTCACTGATTCCAAAAAGAAAACTAATATGTCTAAGTTAAACTATAATTGATTTTTTTTTTCTGTGTGTGTGTGTGTGTGTATGTATTCACACCATTATCTACAGTTAAACCAACTTGGCTGCAATTGAAAGAATGTTTAATAACTTATTTTTTTGTGATTTAGTGGTCGAACTACAAACTGCAAATAATAGCATTTTCCACATTTCCACTGTCTTTTAAGAGAAACATCTGAAACTAAGCTGATTATTAAATGAAACACATATGAGATCTCCATTAAGTCTTCTGAGGCATGAATGAGCAACTTCTGAGCATTAACATCTCAAAATGTCTGAAAGTGAAATATGTCAACAAATGCATATCAATAAAAAAGACTGGAAGGGCTTTTATTTTTGTAATAAACAAACACCTTACATTTCAATCAAATTAGTAAAATCAACTTATTAATCATCAGCCAATATATCAAAATGAACAACACCATTGAGAAAAAGATATTACATGTTTTTCAAATGAATTCTGTTTGTATTCCACTAATCCGACACTGATCATAACCAACCAATATACATGCACTGCGCAAAAAAAAAAAAAAAAACTGTATATATCTTTATAATCATTTTATGTAAATCTCAGGAAAAAAAATCTGACAAAAATACAGTAAAATTTATTTATATTCTCACAAAAATACATAAAAAAATAATTGAGCCTCTTTTGATTGTTGGCCATAACATTTCCAAAATGATGTTACTGAAGTTTATCTGTAATAAACTCATTCCCAAATCTAAGATTCTTGAGAATCTTTTAAATAGCTATTCCTCCATTCCCTAATTCCTCCATTCCCTAAACTAAATCCACCTCTTTCCTGCGTTAATAATATCTCCTAAGTTCCGCTGCATTGTAGGTCTGACACTAACAGAGCTGACCACCATTTTAGAGATGGGTAAACCATAAGGATTTAAACCCATGGCTCCATACACACAGAGAGTGGTGATGGTCGGAGGGAGTCTCGCTCTGGGCACGATCAGGAGCTCTGCTATGATTTTACCCATCGCCCACACATCAGAGTACTGGTCTCTGTGTTTCCCTTGGAAAATCTCCGGGGCAGAGTAACACAAATTGCCTCCTTCTGTGCCAAAGCAAAGCCCATTCTTTTGGAATCTGGCGAGGCCTAAGTCAATTATGACAGCTCGGTAAGTGTGGTATTCCACCTGTAAATAGATGAAATGACCATTGTTAAAAAGGCACAACAGAGATTGTTCTGCCTTCGCCAGCTGGGGAAGTTCAACCTGCCACAGGAGCCGCTGATACAGTTCTTCTTAGCCGTCATTGAGTCTGTCCTGTGCTCTTCAATAACTGTCTGGTTTGCCTCAGCTACAAAATCAGATATCAGAAGACTACAGAGGATGGTTCGGACTGCTGAAAGGATTATTGGTGCTCCCCTATATATACATATGTGTGTTTTATTCACATTTCTTTATTTTGTTGTTGTTGACTGTGCACTGGAAGCTTCTGTCACCAGAACGAATTCCTTGTATGTGCAAACATACTTTGCAATGAAGCTCTTTCTGATTCTGATTCTAAATGCTTGAATGAGACATTATAATGATTCAATTTTCTTCTAGAGTTCATGTAATTCCTATTTGTTGATTTTTTTTTTTACGTAAAGAGTAGGCTAATAATGAGATGATAACCATATTCCCATGCAACCAATTCATTTTGAAAAACCATTTAAATTCCAGAGCTAATGTATAATTTCTCCTGATATACAGTACCGGTCATAAGTTTGGGATTGGTAAGATTGTAATGTTTTTGAATTTCTTTTCTGCTCACCAGTGCTACATTTATTTGATAAAAAATACAGCAACAATTGCAAAATATTATAATTTCTGTGATGAAAAGCTGAAATTTCAGCATCATTACTCCAGTATTCAGTGTCACATGATCTCATGATGAATGAAATTAATCAATGAAAACAACTGTGCTGATTCATATTTTTGTGGAAACTCTGATGCATATTTATTTTTTAGGATTCTCTGATGAATAGAAAGTTCAGCAAAAGAACAGCATTAAAAAAAAAAAAATGGAAATCTTTTGTAACATTGTAAATGTCTTTTCTGTAGCTTCTGATCAAATTAATGCATCCTTGATTAATAAAAGTATTCATTTATTTTTCTTATTCCCCCAGACATTTGAATGTGTATCACCGTTTCCACAAAAATATAAGGCAGCCCAGCTGTTGTTTTTGTCTTATCTGCTCCAGAGATATATTCATATTCTACCAAAACATGAAGATTGTACTGTATTACAATATGGAAAGTTATGAATAACAGTAAAAACTGTGATACAGTACAGTCTTCATGCTTTGGTGGGAATGTTTCCAGAACTAATTAGACACCCAGGAAAGCTAATTTATATAAGCTTTTTTTTAGACAGATAAGACTTTTAGAGAAATATTCTTCATGATTTTAAATAGAATGTTTACTTAAAATTATTTAAAAAGTGTTTAAAGGCATAGTTCACCCTAAAATGAAAATTTGATCTTTATCTGCTTACCCCCAGGGCATCCAAGATGTAGGTGACTTTGTTTCTTCAGTAGAACACAAATGAAGATTTTTAACTCATACCGTTGCAGTCTGTCAGTCCTATAATGTCAGTGGATGGGATTCACGGCTTTGAGAGTCATAAAACATACACAAACAAATCTAAATTAAACCCTGCGGCTCATGATGATACATTGATGTGTAAAGACACAAAACAATCGGTCTGTGCAAGATACTGAACAGTATTTATATAGTTTTTTACCTCTGATTTTAACCGCAATGTCTGAACTGTCCTGAGCGCCTTCGCCACCTATCTGTCAAATGGACCATTGACACTCCCAATTGAGATTGTAGATAGAGTGTCAATGGTCCATTTCAGCGATAGGTGGCAGTAATGCACTTATAAGTCTGCGATCTGCCATAAAGCAAGAAGAAGAAGAAGAAGACGCCTCACGCGCAGGCTGAAGAAGAAGACGCGAAGGCGCTCAGGACAGTTCAGACATTGTGGTTAAAATCAGAGGTAAAAAACTATATAAATACTCAGTATCTTGCACAGACCGATTGCTTTGTGCCTTTTCTCATCAATGTATCATCTAGGATGAGGGTGGAGAACAGTCTTTTTCTCCTCATCCTCCTTATTTGGTTAGAGGTGAACGGAGCGGCCGGTGGGCTTCACATCGGTGCGACCGGCGGGCTTGACATCAGCGCGGCCGGCAGGCATGACTGAGGAACGGCCGGCGGGCTTGAGAATGGCGCGACCGGCGGATTCGACGAAGGAGGCTTGCGGCAACCACATGTGGCGACCCCCGGCTGGACTCCGCTTCGTCCACGGTGAAAGCCGATCCGGTGATCCACAGCGCGAAGTTGATGTATTTCCTAAGAAGACGCGAAGGCGCTCAGGACAGTTCAGACATTGTGGTTAAAATCAGAGGTAAAAAACTATATAAATACTCAGTATCTTGCACAGACCGATTGCTTTGTGCCTTTTCTCATCAATGTATCATCACGAGCCGCAGGGTTTAATTTAGTTTTGTTTGTGTATGTTTTATGACTCTCAAAGCCGTGATTCCCATCCACTTACATCATAGGACCGATGGTGGCGTCATCTAATGCCATCGCCGCGGCGAGCCCGCAGAACTCCCAGGCGTACTCGACGAAGGGGAGATCTCTATGGGCTAGGGCAATCAAGTGTGCCGTGATCTCCATAATCGCGGGGGAAAAAACAAGAAAACAAAATACTTTCAAAAACAAAACTGGGAGAAGGAGCGCCGCTTACTGTTATGGTTCTGTATTCTGTCATGCACCGCTACTGTCTCTTACTGTATCTCGTACCTTGTCAGTGTCTTGCGCTTTGCTTGGCCATTTGTTGTGATAAACAGGAAAGTGTGTCCAGCTGAATTCAATTTGAGTTTTGTTAAACGAATAAAAAAGAAGCTTAGTTTACCACGGAAGTGGTCGCGGCTGCGGTCGTGGTAAGACAAACATAATTGCACATGAGGGAAAACTGGGTCATGGAAAGCGCGTTGGGGAGGACAACACAAAACACGGAACACAGGACTGACATTACTCCCCCTTCCAGGAAGGCGTGTCCACGCACCCCACAACATCCAATGGGGAACGGGGAACGTTCCGGGACCCATGGTGGATCAGGCAGTTCAGGACGCCATGGCGGAGCAGGCAGACTAGGAAGCCATGGCGGAGCATATAGTTCAGGGATCAAATCTTCATTTTTGGGTGAACTATCCCTTTAACTTTATTAACATAGTGTATATGTAGGCATTTGTTTTCAAACACATTTTCTTGTCTGATCAGAAATCATGTCACACAGCCAGAAAAACGTTAATTAACTCACCATGATGTTGTCGGGCTTGAGGTCCTGGTGGACGATATTCTTGCTGTGCATATAAGCGAGGCCTTTACACATGCCACGGATAATGGTGATCATGAGAGGCTTCGTTAGCTGAGAAAGAAAATAAAAAAAGCTATCAGCACTATTTGCATTGATAAAAATCAAGCAATATAATATATCATTAAAGGTTGTGGGTTGATCTGTAAATTATGTTTTGTGCACAGAGATAAAAAGTTTTTTGTTTGTTTGTTTTTCATTTTAAATTGTGTAGTTTTCTGAATAATTAGGTGTTTGAAATGATAGACTGAATATTTTAGACCGATTGTGATTTCTGTCACGTACCGCTACTGTGAGGGAGCGCGGAACGAGGAACGAGGAGAATACTTCAAACAAAGATACTTTAATTACCATCCAACGGAACAAGGAAACCAGAAACACACACGTAGCGAGGAAGACGACATTCAATACAGAACAAAGAACTTAGAACCGGGAACACTTTAAATACACAAGACATAACGAGAAACACCTGGGATCAATAAACATAATTGCACATGAGGGAAAACTGGGTCATGGAAAGCGGGGGGGAGG